AACACCCAACGGAGCAAATGACCGGAGACAAAGCGGAAGGGTGTACCCGGATTTGCCAAGGTGAAAACAGCACCCAAGCGCAGGATACGAGGCTGGGCAAATTGAGACTTCTCACGTACCTGACCTCAGCTTGCCCCTCTTTGGCCCCAAATCATATGGGTTCTTTCGGAAAGGCTTGACATCGGCTAAAACAAATGTTAAAGGTCGCCCACATGTAACTTTCAACGAACCCCGGTAGAGAGTGCACCGTGTCAACAACAGCCTGTCACAGCGGCCCAAATTGATATGATGTACGTTTGAGGGGGGAAGCCAAAAGGACACTTCCAGATCGATTTATGAGGGTCCCAAATCGTCAAACATCCCCAAGCATCCAACCAAGACTCAGCTCACAAAGGAAGCCGTCCGTCGGAGCAGGCAGCAAGTTCACGTAGTCGGGGCTGACCTCGTACATCTGCCTCGGTGCTGAGGCCAACCCAAGGTTCCATTCTTGCAGGAACTTAAGCCCAGTGGAGTTTGTTTGGAATGAAGGGGCCTGCGCCGTGTTTGAGTCATTGTTGAAAGGCCTAAACCGGCGGATTAGGTCATGCTTAAAATGCGGGAACCACCCGGGCTTGCAAGTGCTGTTGGGGCTTTTGCACATGAAATCATTTTGATGAGAAAGCCTCCTTTCAGACCGGTCTTTCCCACCTACGGCGGTCAAAATATCCGTAATACGTGTCCTTGTTCGGTTTAATTGTGAGAAACCATGAAACTGGAAGGGTAGCATCCAGGCTGATAATCCCTTGGCCTCCTTTCAAGGCCCCTTTACACAAATAAGCCCATGGAGTGACGTGCAGCTTATCTATCTATCCTGCTATCTCGCTATCTCGCTATCTCTGTATCTCTCTATCCTCTATCTCTGTAACTCTCTATCTCTCTATCGCCCTATCTCTCTATCTCTCTATCCTCTATCTCTGTATCTCTGTATCTCTCTATCTCTCTATCTCTCTACCTCTCTATCTCTCTATCTCTCTATCTCTCTATCTATCTCTTTATCTCCCCATCTCGCTCTATTTCCGTCAATCTCTATCTATCCCTATTTATCTCTCTCTCTCTCTCTCTATCCATCCATCCATCCATCCATCCATCCGTCCGTCCCTCCGTCTGCCTATCTATCTGTAGTCTATCCACACCCCAGACCACCCTAACTGTTGAGCTGCTGGGACATGCTCATCCCAGGTGCATCCCCAAATCCGGAGCTTGCAGCTGTTAGGGAATAAGTCCTTATCCCAATTGAACAAGTTGTGCTGCTTGTCATCTACTCTTCCAAAGCCCCTTGCGGCAAAAAATGCCTTTGCCCAGAGGGAAGAAGACACAAACAGCAACAAACAGGCGTGCGCGCGCACACATGCCAAGAGTCCTCGTGTGGGTCAACGTCATGCTTCCCTTGAAGCACATCCTTCTCTGAGCACCCGGCTCCTCCGGTTGAGCGCTCTCCTCCTGCCATTGCTCATACTCAACCTGAGCCGATCGAATGGCGAGCCGTAGGCGCCGTAGACTCATCTCAGGAGGGGGAAGCCACATTCCCATAGGTGTCCTTTTGGAAAAATAGATGGCCCTAGTAAATGAAACAAAACCCATCTAAACCAGTGCCTTCTATTTTTAACCGCAATGCCTAAAAAGGGTACCTATGCACATTCCTTGAAGGAAGGTTCAACAATGTCAAGACTTGGTGATAGGGGTACGTCACAGGCAAACTCGGCCATTGAAACCCGAATTTGGCCGCCACGGCCACAAGAGCGAACCATTTCGTCTGCACACTCGGGGAGGGCCCACTTCAGCTCGACTAGGAGTGATTGAGCCCCATATCTCAAAGCCAGAAAGCTCACCCCGAAGGAAGCCTGCAAATCTTGGCCACCATTTTCCCCAGCGGATTCCTCTGAGGGCTTGTGCCATTCCATGTGGATCGGAAAGTAGATGCAACCCCCTTTTGGGAGTGGTTTGGGCTGCAAGTCATCTCAGATTCTGCGACAGGTTGACAAGTGTCCTCACTGTGGCCAAACTTGGGGACAACCAAGCCTTCTGAGTCTGGTCACGTGTGGTCCCGGCAGGTCTGTGCTTAACAAGGCCTCAAGGGCCAAACGCAATGTCCACCCCTCACCGAAACTTCTAGCCATGTAAGATGCCCCAAGTTCCGCGCAATCATTGCACGCTTTTACTAGTTAACGCGCGCTTAGCCCCGAAGGGGAAATCCACAGGCGAGGCACCAAAACCAAAAAAAGCTGATGTTGCCATGTTAGTCCCATTAGGGCCACGAAGGCAAGGACCGAAGTTGTTCTCCGGCTCAGTTGGCTGGGAAGGGGCCAGGCGTGAAAGGATGAGGACCGGAGGGTCTCCAGATTCATTAAACGAGTCCTCCAAAAGTTCAGTTTTGGCGCTCGTCCAAGCCTTGTCAACCTTGGAGGGGGGGGGCCCTTTAGTACTCAGGGGCAACCATTATAGGCTTACACGTCCGCACAGTCCGCACGGGCGAAGCAGAAGAACCTTGACGCGTAGTGCCGTTTCGCACCCGCGTGTTGCGCTGCCTTCGTCCCCAAAAGAGGGGTCTGGCCATGTTGCTCACTTTGTGAGCGAATAAAAGTCCGATGTTGTTTGTTTCTTTTACCACTCCGACGTGGCCTTTCCAACAAGCATGAAGCAACCAAGAACTCAGGGGCTGAGTTGTCTCGTCGGGGAGCCGCTGCCATTGGGCTCCTTCGATCCGCGCCGCAAGAACCTGGCGCGTTTCTTTCGGGGGATTCGAGACGTGGCTCTCACAAGCCTGGCCTCAAGGAGTGCAGGCTGCCTCGTGGTGCTTGAGCCAAGACGGGAAGATCTCCGAACGTCTAAAGGTTCGATGGATGAAACCCTCCAAAACGGGGGGGAACATGCAGCTACGACTTGTGCAAGGGGAAGCTTTGAATCCAGACCGTGCTGGGCACAGAAGCTCCAAGAAAAGCCCCTGGTGACTCTAGGACAGTTCATGAAAGGCGCCCATTATAGCCAGCCTTCACCACCAATACTGGCAGCAAGGCGGGGATGTGTTTAAACACATCCCTGCCAAGATCTCCCTCTCTCTCTAGTGCTATCCCAGGCCAAAATGCATGAACATGATTTGTATGCAGGCTTTACTAACCCCCCAAAGAGCCAAAGGGCTTTCGGAATAGCTTCCGGGCGCTTCCTGTGCGCGCCCGCAAGACCGCAAGACCACTAAAAGTGACCTAGCATTAATACACCCCTGGTTGATCAATATGGGGTGGTGTCTCCTGAAGCGAGGATCCTTCATGTTTGCCAGTCAAGCTGCCAGTCTGAACAACCCAGGATCAATAATAAAAAACCGTTCCCATTCATCTGCTCACCCTAAAAAACCGCCAACACGGTCCTCATGTTTGATTGGGTGAGACGGCTTAGCTGCCAGTCTACGCATGTGACTTCTCATCAGCTGCCCTGGTCTCGGCCTGCAGTACGGGAGACTTTCCACAACCCAAAAACCACTGCCCTCGGGCAATGGAGCTATCACAACCACTACGTAATCGGCAGCTGGGCAGCTGCCATACGGAAAAATGGGCCTTCCCAAAACCCAGGGCCTGTATGGCGGGTGAGCTCGTCAGAATACCACTGCCAAAGAGCTATGCGCACCAAGTTCTCACTGGGCGGTTCGGAGCGAGTGCTTGAGCTCAAAACCCGCAGGAACCAAACCTGGACCCCAAAAATCGATCAAACCTTGCAGCCGCAATATTGGGGGTTGGCAGCTCCGCAGGGACAGGGAGGCCTCAGTCATGGACTTACCTGGCCATAGGGGCTGGCAACCACATGCAACCACCCAGAAAATCCCCTGAAGGCCTTAGGAGCTACTCTTTGGCCTAGTCTAGAGAAAGCCACCCATGGTCCGATGGTGGTTCAGAGTGGCGGGAAAGCTAGCCGACACACTGTATTAGGTGCCAATCAGGACGATGAGCCGTGAACTCCCCTTGCTATGGCCAGTATTGGACACAGCCTGGCGGTCCAAGTGTGTTTCCTTTGCCATCTGACTAGTGGCATCGAAGCAGTCACTCGCCCTACACAGAAAAATGGGCCGGGTCCTGTCTTTGAGCCCGTGTTGTGTGGTTGATCCCCATCATCCATGACTACTTGTTGGAATGTGTCACTCTAAAGGGAGTTCTAACCTCGTATCGTAGAAAACGGGCTACCCACACATTTGCTGTGGGAAAATGAGTTCGCCTGTGCACCAAGCCATGGTTGATTCATTCAAGCTATTTCTCATAAATCTATGCCCAACCCGCACCTGGGGCAAAGGAATCCCACGGCCCGCCCCCAGCCTGTCACCAGACCAGCCGCCAAGGGAACCAAAATCGGCCTTGTCTAAACGCAAGGGCTTGGCCCCTGTCCAGTCGCTCACTTTTTCCCTTACACCAAGCATAGTTGCGATTCACAGGTGCTGCACAGGCTTAGAACAAGCAAGGGCTACCCCTTCGCCCTCCCTAAAACCCCTCCCGCAAGTTGCAAGGTGGCCTTCTTTGGAGGAAGCCAGGAGGGGGGTAATTCCGTGAATAAGGGCGGTCGCCCGGCATGTTTCCAAGGTTGGTGCCCCCATACCTTGAACGACACGGGTAGAACAAACTTTCTATGAATTGGATCTCAAAATGGGCCGGTGCCCCTCCATACCGTCCACAAGGTGTTGTCGTTCTTGGCTCTATGTAACATGTGCACACGTCCACGCAAAGCCTGATGCTTTCGGTTAATTTGGTTCACCTGCACCTGTGCAGCAGTATGGTACAAACCGCCTGCTGACGAATTGCGCGCATCTCGTGCCAAAAAGGCGCGCATGCCAAGCTACGCGCCTACTAGGGCCCCCAAAATAAGTACAATGGAGTTGCGGGGTACCTGAAAACCAGATCAAGCCATGATCATGGGAACGTCTGCTTGTCAATATTCTAGCCTCCTTGTTTAACGCGTGCATGGGCCCCCAGCTCTCTGAATTCTCAATAAAACGGCCGCTGCGGCAGCACCAGCCTGGGCGTCAAGATCTGCGCCGGCGGGGGCGTGAAGCCGCCGATGCCCGAGAGGTTGGAGATATGGCTCGCCGGGGAGTAGGCACATTCGTGTTCCATGGGCATCACTGCGCCGGCCGGCAGAGGCTGCAGCGCCTGGCACAAACTGAGCTAACTCTCTTCAAGCCGTACATCACTCCCAAGCGCACCTGTGAACAGGGCTGTCCAAACATGGCGTTCATATGAGCCAGCATAAACATGTCCAAGTGGCATTGGATCGTGACAGGCAAAAACACATTCCAACCGGTAATTTTGTGAGTGTACCGAATGTTGCTACTCAAAAGACGGCAAATACAGGCCAAAGCTCAACCATGCTCAACCATACCCCGTCCTTCAAACCTGCATGACCCGAACACATGGCACCGTTTTCTTTGGTCGCCACTGTCAAAGGCTCCCCCCCCAAATTTAAAAAAAAGACACATGGCACTACTGCCAAATATATGTATATATATATATATATATTGAAAAAGAAAAAAGAAAAAAGAGTGCCGGCCCCAGGCCACCCCGGGAGCGCGCGCCTGCCCCGCGCTCAGCACTTGCGCCCGGGCGAGCTGCGCATGGCTCATCACGGGCGAGGCGGGCACGCTCGCGCTGGGCACGTGGCCGGTGTGCAAAGGTCCGGACGAGGGCCTTACTCGCGGCATGGCGACTGGATCCCTGGTGGGTGCTGATGGCACTTAACATTCCTTAAATCAGCTTGCCCCTGATTGGTGGTTTGGATTGCTGGTTTGGATTGGTGGTTTGGTGGCTAAGGCGCAGTGGTCAAGTTTGCCCTCTACAAGAACCAGGGCTCACAGCCCCAAACCACCAGTTTACTTCATTAAAGGGAACAAAATAAGGAAAAAACGGAAGGCAAGAGATCAGGTTGAATTTGGACATCCATTCCTTTTGGCTCGTTGAATTTGTAGAGGCGCCTGCCCAAGCAAAAGAAAAGGCAAAAGGGTGCCACCTTTTGACCAGGCGGCGCTTGGGCCGAGGCCGGCGGCTGCCGATAGCCCCTGGCACAGTTGGGCTATGAGGAGGGCTGTCATCTTGTAAACCCTTAAGGGCTTGTTGGGCGCTGCTGGCGCGGGGGGAATGCGGCTGGACCCTCATAGCAAGTCTCCGTCTTTGGCCTCAAAAAAGGGACGCGACAAAGGGAACAGTTTAGGCCAAGGGCAAACCCAAGCTGACAGGTGGGCTTTGGAAGACTACTTTCCTTTTGGGGGCAGCGCCTGCGCTTCTGCGTTTCGGCCCTAAAACTTGCCCTCGAAATGAGGATCTAAAGGAAGCCCACCCCCAGCCAGCCTGCGGGTCGCTCAAAATGCAGCCGCTTTCAGGGGAAGAGAAAGAAAGGTACAACTCGAGTTCTTGAAAAGATGGCCACCTTGCTTCCCAAGCTTAGGGGTGGAGCTTTTCAGCAGCTCGTCGATGCCGAACGAAAACTCCTCACCCCCTGCCTGATATACGAGGAGTTCTGGTTCGGCAGCGATCGCCGGGGGACGCGCTCCGCGGGCTCCTTTGGCATTCCAATTGGCGCAGAGCATGGATGGGAGGCCAAAAGGAGAATCCCTGGAAAGTCGGAAGCTGCTTAGAACATGTTGCAGTCCGGTTTTGGGTACGAAATTGGATTGCCCCAACTCTCTATCTTCCTGTCCGAATCACATTTTTTCCTTGCTCTTTGCCTTTCTTAGCTGCATCTCTGAGGGCAAGGGGCGCTTTGCACTTGGGAAGGAATCTTGCCACCGACCCACTGGCCATATCAGAGTGTCCGGAAGCCTTGCTTGCCCCCAGGAGGTATGGCAAAGATACTGAGAGGCCACTATGTTTGTTGCAGCCATCCACTTTCTCGTTTCTAATGAAATGCTCGGAATCTGGTCGGACTAAAGAGATTGCCACCTTTTCCGAGCTTTGCTTCAACGCCTGTCCTCCCGGCCGCATTTGATGCAGAACCGCGACCCCGGCGCCATCGCCGTGCCGCACGACACGCACCGCTCCTCGCCCGGGCCCGCCGGCCCCGGCCCCGGCCCGGGGCGCTCGACCACCGGACCCGCCGGACCCGCCGGGCGTGCCGGACACGGACCCGGGCGCTCGAGGGAAGGCGCCGGGCCGGAAGCCTCGCTTTGGGGCAGCGCAGCGGAGAGGTACAGCGGCGCGGAGCGACGGGCCGTGAGGTTCCCGGAGTAGGGGCCTCGGGCTCCGCGGCTTGCAGTGCTTCTGTGCTTTGTGTGTCTTGGGCTTTGTGGCTTCTTTTGCTCTTGATGCGAGGCTGCAAGGAGCGGTTAGATCCATTCTTGCATCCATCATGGCGGACCCTCAAGACAAAGTTGTGTGCAAAACAGCTTAATTAAAAAAAAAAAAAAAAAAAAAAAAAAAAACGAACACACACACACACACACACACACACACACTACATTTCTTTTTGCCTCAAGGCGCTGGTGGGTGCACTGGCGCTCGCCCCTGCTCCGACTCCGCCTCCGGGTCGGGCCTGGAGCTGTCGCTCCAAGGCGTTGGCGCGGGCCTCCTGGGCGGGCCACTCACTTGAGTGGATCGGCTAGAAAAATCGGAACTTTCTTTGCGGCACTGAAACGGTCGTCCCAAAAAGCATAACCTCCACAAACGTGGGATGCGAGGTCAAGCCCCAACAACCATGGGTCAGAAACCACTGCTGAAGTAGGGTAAACTGCCCGCAATTGGCTTAAACAATCAACGTTTGTTGAAATCGCCCCAACTTTGTTGCGCAACATGTCTTCTCAACACGCTGCAAACAAACCGGCTGTAACATGGTTGACGCAGCCTCCGTGTGGCTCGTTCCTTAAACAGCCGACATGAACCTGGCCGTTAAACCAACAGACCGACCGGCCGACCCACCGACCGACTGACGAACCAACTAACCAACCAACAAGTGAAACACTTCACCAACCAAAACCACAACCAACCAAAACCATAACCAAACAAACCAAAACCACAACCAACCAAAATACCAACCACCAACAACCAACCACAACCAACTACAACCACAACAAACCACAACCAGTCACAACTAACCACCAAGCAAAACCAACCAATCCAAACCAACCAACCAGCCAGCCAGCCCAACCAACCACCCACCAACCAACAAACCAACCACCAACCAAAACCAACGAACCAACCAACCAAAACCAACAAACCAACCAACAAACCAACGAGCCAACCAGCAAACCCACGAACGAACGAGCGAACGAACGAACGAACCAACGAACCAAACCAACCAACCAACCAAACAACCACCAATCAGCCAAGCGACCGACCAACCGACCGACCAACCAACAAACCAACCAACCAACCAGCCAGCCAGCCAACCAACCAACCAGCAAACAACCAACCAACCAACCAACCAACCAACCAACCAACCAACCAACCAACCAACCAACCAACCAACCAACCAACCAACCAACCAACCAACCAACCAACCGACCGACCGACCGACCGACCGACCGACCGACCGACCGACCGACCGACCGACTGCTGCTTGTTTGAGCAACCGCCTCTTGGTTCTCTTTAGATGTTGCCAGGGTCTCCGTGTTTGACATGTCCTCACCCCAAAAAAAAACACAACACACACACACACACATGTTTCGCACTAAGCTGGCCTGGGCCTGGCCAAAGCTGATGGCCTCCTGCAGCTGCCGCGACAGCATCTGCCGGGCCTGGCGTCGCGCGGTCAAAACGAAACGCTTTGCCTCTCTCACCACTTTCGCCTCCCTTTCTTTACCCTCACCAGCCAAGAAAACGCGAGAACACTAACAGAAACACACAAAACAACCACATTGACATCCTCAAGGGCAACCTCTGGAAGCACCCCGAAGCGTCCTCGGGCCTCCGCCTCCTGCGCCAGCCGCTGCTCCAAGCGCCCCATCCGTTCCTCCAGGCTCCACCCCGACGATGCCGACGACGGCCGCGCCGCTGGGCCCGGGGCGGGCGTCAGAGGTGAGTCCAGGGCCATCTCCGCAGCCCGGAGCCGATGGTCCAAGGAACGCCTCAGCCAGCCCCCCCCCCCGCACGGCACATCCCTTTTGGCCTTCCCTCCCTGAAAGCCGCCCATCTTGAAAAGGGAAGGGCTCGTTCGTCAAACCCCACTTTTGCTGCAGCCCCCACATCTCCCCAACGCCCATCTCCCACCTGGGTCCGGACGGCGGCTCCCGCGGGGAGGACGGCTGTGGGGAGGCGACGGGCTCGGTGATGCTGACGCTGCGCCGGGGGCTGGCCGAATTGCTGCGGTCCGACAAGCTGGACTTCCGCGGCACCCTGGCAGCGGTGCCAAGTGGCCCCAAAATCCAACCTCTATGCAACCCACTCCTATTTTTCGGGTTCGGAAAGGGGGACCAAAGGGAAACCACTGGGAAAGCTGAAGGGGAACCAAAAAAAAAAGCAACCAAGTTTGACCCCCCATGATTGATCCTTTTGAAGGAGATCCTCCAATTCGTTGTTCATTCCCACGCCCATGACCACTCGACCCATTGAACAAACGCGCTTGGTATCAAGAGGTGTTACCCCCAAATGCAATTGTTCACAGCCATGCAGCCGCGCACGAGTTTGCAAGCGGCCACAGCGGTCATGAAGAACCAAGGGCGATGGATCTCCTGAAGGCGTCCCTCGGCATGCAGAAAAGCTCTGGGGGAAGGGAGAGGCACGGGATGTTGAAAGTCTGTTTTTTGGGGAAGGGAAAGGGGACACCGCTACGTGTTGGTTTAGATTGGTACTTTCTGGGTGGTTGTTGAGACAGTAGCGCCTTTAAAAGCACTCAAGCAAGGGGACAGCCCCACCCCGGCACGACGTGATTGCTTCCATTTCTTCCCGGAAAGCTCAACACAAAACCCGGAATCTCAACATGGAACCGCTGAAGCCCCCCCCCGAAAAAGATTTTTAAAAAAAAAAAAGATTAAAAAAAAATGACGCCAACAAAACTTGACAAGGCCCCGAACCATGGTAGTTTTGGTTGAAGCTTCCAGATATGTCCCCAAACTCCCTGAAGCCCCTCCCCCTCCCCCCGCCTGGTGTCGCTCGGCTGCTCCTCCAGTCGTGTGGGTGCCAGCACCCGGCCGTTCACCCCGCCCTTCCAGGGTTGGGCCATTGGGTCTCAACACCCATGGCTTAAGCACCTTTTTTTCCGACCGAGTACCGTACCAGCTGCTTCAACCCAGAACATGTCCCCCGCTTACACGAGGCTCATATGACCTTTTGGCGGTTTCAATACGCCGGAGAAAAAAGCGTGGGTCTGATTGGTTACATGAGGCCATATTGGCTTAGAGAGTTCATCTACGCCGAGAAAAGAAACAAGAAGGTCTGATTGGTTGCCACACCCGAACTGGGGCAGAGGGCAGAACCCCCGCCTTCTGCACCTTGAGGTGCCGCAACGCCACTGGCACAGGGTGCCCCTGGCCGTCAAACAGCACCTCGCAGTTCAAAGCCTCCTGAAAAGCGGAAGCCAACCACACCAAACCCCCGCAGGTATTGCCCTCCCACCCTGTTTCACGTGGAAATCTGACGTCCGGCGGGTTCCTGGAAGACCAGCTTCCTTTTGAAGGGACCCCCTGCCAAGTTCCTCGCCTGGCGGTTCTTTTTTGGGCCTGGGCGTCCGGCATTCCTTGTTCGTTGGGTCCCCAAATTGGCTTGGCGACAAGCAAGCGGAGAGAGTAGGGAGAATCAGAATCTCGGACTGAAAGAATTGGAACCAGAGTCGTTTTTCCGGGTTGGCTTCATCTTTTGCCCCGGGGGGGGCGGGGGTAGTCCATTCTTGGCTGGGAACCCCTCCACAAACAAAAGAGTGCCGCTGAAAAACTGGGTGCAAGGCCTGCCTTACTCGAGAGGGGCCATACAGGGCGTTTCTTGGCTCACCTCGCAGTAAGAGTTTAAGGTGCATCCAGTGACGTGAAGGGTAGAAAGAGGGATGTGGAACCCTTTTCCCAAAACGTGAACGGAAAAGGAAGTGCTATCAAAGAAACTTCCTCAAATTTACCTAAATGGTGGCTGAAGGGGTTCCAACCCCCAACAGGTGGACAACCCTCAATTGAGAACCTTCAAAATGTCGAACAACCACCCCCTAAAACCACCAAAGCACCCTGCCACAAACCACACTGAAAGAGGGTGTTTTTAGAGGCGAATGGTCTTCCTGGCCCCTTTCAGGTTCATGTTTGTTTGGAGGGTGCTTGGGAGACGCCCCCCCCCCCCCCTCAAACGGCAACCACTCCTGGTCCACCCGGAGAACGCGGCCCTGGTCGCCAGCGCCGAAGGAAGGAAAGTTGCCTCGGCCAGAAACCAAAACCGCCGGCCGCGGGCAAAAGAACAACCACCTCTTTTCCAGGCTTTCCAGAAAATTGATTCGAAACCCATGCGACTTTTTGTTTTAAAAGATGTGTCAACAAAAAAAGAGGACCAATCTTTGGAGTAGCAAACGCCTACCCTCAGCTGCAGCGTCTTTCCACTCCTTCGGGCACGCTTTAGATTCCGGGAGGGTGGGGAAGAACCTTTACTATGTTGAGCCTATCCAAGTGGAACTTTCAAAAAAATGCTTCGCTCTAGTTGGTCGTTTGGATTCGTGGTTGGCTTGGTGGTTAAGGAGGGGTGTCCCGTTTACCCTCTCGAGAAACAGGGGTTCAAATCCGCAAACCACCAATCCAGTGAGTGATGGCTTCTCAAAATAGCCGTCCCCTGAAATGGTTGATTTTCTTTTGGCGTCCCTTTCACTGCCAACTTGACAGGTGCCTCCTCCGCGCGACCCATCAATCTGGGCCCCGACTTCCTCTCTGACATCGCTCGAAACAGGGAGTCATTTGACAGCTTTTTTAGATGGGACAGAGGCTACTAGTCTACCAAGGGTTTATTGATGGGTAACCATCAACCATCCGTCCGTTTCTGGCATGCAAAAGTAAAGGGCCTGCATGGTGGTTTTCGGTGAGCTCGCCACAAAGCGGTCACGCCGAACCCGGTTGCTTCATTTGGCCGCGGGTCCAAAAACAACTAAAAAAACATGCATACCCATGCATACGAACCCTGGCAAATTGAAACCACGACTGAAACCTGCGGTGCGTCTGGTGGTTTCAATGCCGACCGCCGATTTTCGCCGGAGCTGCGTCCGCTCAGCACCACCACGCGGCTCCCTTCCTCGATGCCCTCCCCAGGCCCCGGCGAATCGGAGGCGCGCGCGCCGCGCCGCGAGAGGAGCACCATGGCACCGTCAGACGCGGAGTTTGGAGCCAAGGGAACCCGCGGAAAGGCGGGGGCTCCTAACAAACAGGGCGAAACCCCCTGAAGTTTGTAGGGAAGGCAATTTGTTGCCCCCGCGCATTTTTCTGGGTGTTCCATGTCCCGCGCATCCAAATGTTTGCTTTCTGCTGGCCTGGGGAACGAACTTTCCCGTCCGAAGGGCCCTTGGAGGTACCCCCCTCGGGGCCGCCGGAGCCTCCTCTCAGCTGCGGAAATGAATGCCGTTCCCTGCAGTGTCCCGAACCCATCCCAATGGTGTACATATGGAAAAAATGCCCCTGGAAAGCTTCCCCCATGGTTTCGGTGGCGCCTCACAGCTTCGAATTTTGCAAAGAAGGGCCGATTCTACACTTTTTCCCGGACCCCCCCCCCGTTCTGATTCAATGGCGCAAATGGATCTGCACGAACTCCTGCAACTCCCCCCTTTCTAGGCGCCCAGAAAAGGAGCCTCCCCCAGTGCGAGCTCCGTTAAACACCCCCAGAGAACTCGCTATGCGGAATCGGGTAGGTGCTGCCCATACCGACCAAGGCGCTGGAGCCAGCAGGACCCAGAAGGCATACCTCAGCCGATGGCCCAAGTGGCAACCGGAGCTGAAAACAGGACCCAGACGGCTGAAAGCCAAAAAAAGTAGAAGCTTGGCCCAGCTCTGGGTACACCAAAAATGATATGTTCAGATTCTTCTGCATACTTGGTCCACCCGGCCCTGAAGAGAAAAAAATGATTTCCTTGGAGGCGGCCGCAGGAAACACCCAAACAACGCGTTGCCCCGCTGCCCTCGTCAGGGAATCTTTGGCTTCGGACACGCATCTCGTGGCTCGAAAAATTGACGGCCTTGCCCAGCAAAGCGCGGGGGCCCAATTTCAGAAAGCTCGTGCTACACCCTGGTGAAATCGATGCGTACGTCAAAAAGAGCCCTTCTCAAGAGCAATGACCTTCACAGCTCCAAGATGCTTCCAACATGGCGGCTACTGGTGCCACATGAGTCGCAGGTGCAAATGTCAAAGGCCCTGCAGGAAAGGCGAAGAAATCGAAGAAATGCTGCGATCGGTGTAGACCAACGCTGGGTGGTGCCGGGAGTTTGATGAAACCTCTTTGCTTCAAAGACGCAGCGCTACGATAAGCCACTCCGCCACGCTCTCCACGGATAAGCACCAGCCTAGCCACGCGAAAGAGGCGCTGCGAATGCCAACATGCGCCTCTGCCGAAACAACAGGGGTGCCTATGTTTCCCTTGTGGTGGTGTTAATTGTCAACTTTTTAAACCAATTCAAGGTGAGTCTGCTTCAAGTGGGGTGATGTTTCAGGGGACATGTCGGAGCCCTAAACAAAACGAGATACTGCTTGAATGCGCCCTTTGCTGACACAGTCCTGCAACGGTACTAAAGGAGTGCCACACCGAGGGAAGAGCGGAGGGAAGACCCCAAAACAAAGCAACGATCCGGGCAAACTAATTAGAACTCACACGTCTGAAAAGGACTCCAAGCAAAGGAACCTTCATGGAATCGGTCGAAACCCGACTCCCCTTGTGAGGTCGGCCATCGTATCAGAAGCCAGTGCCGCCAGGTAGCGATACTTGTTGTACTTCGCCAGCACTCCGTCTTGTTGCCTAGCATCAAGGTTCCTTGTACGTCCCCTTTGAACATAGCACCACCTAAAGGAAGCTCAATCAAAATGGGGCCTGGAATCACCCCAAAAGATACATATAAGGAACCCTGAGCATCCGAACCGAATCTTCTCGATGCAGTTGTGCTTGAAAATTGTAAGTAAGGCCAGCCCACCCACGCACGCTCGTGCGCACACCCACGCACGTCACACCCACATTGGCATCACTTTTCTTGGTTGGAGAAGATAGCCCTTTGCTGAGGTACAAAGTGGGATCCCAATCTTTCTGACTATCCCACCTATTTGAAGAACACAGCCCCCTCCTCCATACATGTTCCCCTGACAATGCAAAGGAGAAAAGGAGAGAGTGTACTCCTTGACATCTCACTGCCCAGGGCACTGCGGAGATCTCGGCTCCGTGTCGAAGGTGGCCCCATCGCAGAGGTTCTCGCAGAAGTGGAAGGTGAAAAGAACCTCGCCCAGTTTGATAGCTCTCAGAGAAGGGAAAGGACAAAGCAGCACACTGGTCTCCGGGGGCGGTGGACATTGCAACCACTTCGGTGATACTGGAGAGTCTGGCCCCCCCTCCCCCCCACCGATTTTTCCCAGTCTCCGCAACAGCGGCGTCTTCATGCGCCCCGTCCCGCAGAAAATGCCAAGGCACACCGTACACAGTCATGGAGAACCACAGGAGCGTTGCCTCAATTGGATATTCATTTCCCCAAGCTGCAGTTGAGCAATGACAACATCAAACCATCAAACTCACCGTTGCAAAACCCGAGCCCTGAGAAGTCCCAGCAAAGCACACCAAGGCACATTCCTTAGGCATTCACCCAAAAAGCATGAGCAAAGCCAACATTTTTGTCGGCCCTCTCAATACCTTCGAGGGGTGTTCAACACGTTTTTTGGCATTCCATTTGCGATGGAGTTCAAAGTGACACCGATTGCCATGTTTCGGGGCCCTTGCGTCTCAGAAGCGGCTTTAGCAAGGCAGTGGTGATGTCCTGCTTCAACCGACTGTCTCGGTGGCTTTCCATGCATCGAAGAGCAGCTCGTGAAGGTCTCACTTGTCATAGCATTTGTTTGACTCGATGCGTGCGAGTAGCAGCACAGCCTTCCATTCAATGCGCTGCTTGCTGGGCTTCTGACAATCCGCGAGGGCTTTGAGAGAATGGACTTCTTATGTTCCCAAAAATTGCAAGCAACTGACCTCTCCCACCTTCCATGAGCGAGCCTGTGCCAAGCTGCCACAATGGCCGGGAGGACGAAAGGCCGTCGAAGCCCGGACGGCAAAAGAAGGATCAGGACACCTCGGTCAGAAACACCGAACCTTTGGAGGTGCCTGGCTCGATGTTCTTGCAAGATGTGTTCCAAGAAAAAAAGAAAAAGAAAAAAACGACCCCTCCTGGATGGTGCAACCCCCAAGATTTGAGCGCTGGCTCACTTGCCAAGCCCGGCATACCGGGCCTTTGTTCCTGCATTCATGACACATCCGACAAGCAGCCGAAAGCCGAGTTGCTGTACAGGAAGAGCATCCAAATACTCGCCAGGAAGAAGACATAGGCCTTGCAATTGTGTCCAACAATTGGGGATCCCGTATCTGATTGTTTTTCCTTCTCTTGTTGGGGGGGGGGGGGCCAACGGACGGACGGTCGGACAGGTTCGAAAGGTCCCACCAACCCCCCCCCCCCCCCGGCCCCAATTCTTGACTGCTGAGCGAAGATATTGTTACTGCGCGATCCTTCTCACCCACCATCTTCACTCCAAAACATATCTGAGGGTTGAACAACTAGGAGGGAGAAAAGACTGATGGAAAACAGCAGTCTGCCCATGGACCTCTCGTCATCTTCGGATGGAAGTCAGAGCAGGGGCTCCAGATTTATCCGCCGACATTGCTCGGCGTGTCGGACACCTAAGAGAGGATAGAGGATAACCCCCCCCCCCCCTAACCCCCCCCCCGCCCGACGTCGGATACGTGGGGGGGGACCGCGCGGCAATTTGATGACGTTCCACTAAACGTAGTCTTCGGGGAGCCGGTGTCGCAAAACAGGGGTCCCAGGCTCGATTCCCCCTGCCGGCTCTTTGCTGGTTTGGGGTTCCTGCCTCCTTTTGCAGAAAATCTGGAAAAACTCTGTGTTTTTGGACGTCCTAATTGTGAAAACGCTGGAAAACCCGTGTTTTTTTGCTGGAAATATTGGGGAGCAGAGGGGAAATGCAAGGAAGTGCAAGTGAAATGAGGGGAGGAAATAGGAAGTCGACATGACAGGAAAGCAGCGGGACATGAAAGGGAAACAAAGGGGAACTGAAAGGGACATGCAAGGGACAGAAATGAAAACAAGGGGAGTGCAGGGGGAAGGAGAGGAAACAAAGCACAAGGAAACCAAGCACGACGGGAGATGTAGGGAAATGACTCGCAACGAAAGAACGGGACATACATGGCAAATGAAGCGGACATACCGAGAAAATGTCAGGGACATGAAGGGGGGGCTGAATGGCATGGAAGGGACAGGACCAGGACATCATGGGAAACGTGACAAGGACATGAAGGGGGAAAGCCAGTAGTGAGATGACAGTTCAGGGTCATGCAGGGGCAGTGCCCGGACATCGAGGCAACTCGGGGGGGGACGTGACGCTGCAATGCAGAGAGAGAGAGAGAGAGACAGAGAGAGAGAGAGAGAGAGGGAGAGAGCGGGAGAGAGACAGAGAGAGAGACAGAAAGAGAGAGAGAGAGACAGAGCCACAGACAGAGCCAGAATCAGAGAAACAGAGAAAGAGACAGACAGAGAGAGAGACAGCGAGAGAGAGAAAGACGGAGACTGAGAAAGAGAGACACAGAAAGACAGCGAGAGAGAGAGAGAGAGAGAGAGAAAGAGAAAGAGAAAGAGAAAGAGAAAGAGCGAGAAAGTGAGAGAGTAGAGAGGTTCGAATTAGGGTGCCCTTTTTCTGTAGATGGGCGTGGACAGGAAGGAGACAGGGAGACAGAAAGAGACAGAGAAACAGAGACAGCGAGAGAGAGAGAGTGGGAGATTGAGGAGAGAGAGGCTTGGGGGGATGGGGAGAATGGGGAGCAGAGGGAGGGAGAGAGGACGACAGAACGCACGAGGGAGACAAGGGAGAGGGAAGAAGGAGAAAAGGGAGAGGACAATGTCGGCGGACTGAGCCGGAGGCTCTAAAGTAAAAGACCTGCACTAAGGGATTGGCCAAATTCTTGAGCCACCGTGACACGTGAGGCAAATTCGATACGATCCGCACGGGTTCCTCTAACTCACCCAACCTAAGCACGGAAGACCCCCCAAGTAAGGGACCTTAATGGGCGGAATCGCCACTTCAGCTGAGCTCACCCCAAAAAAATGGGGCAGAAATCCCAGTTCCCTGGACAAGCACAGAATCTAGAACTTCCAGAGGAATCTCCCTTTCGGGGACGCACCCGTTCTGGATTCGGTTGCTTTGCTGGAATCCAACCCCACCAACTCCTCCGAGCGTCGGCCGTGCGGTGCGGCAGCCGGGACAAGTAGGTGGGGATCAGCACCACCCCGACCTTAGGCGCACTTTGAGCCCATCTCGGCCCTCGTCGCTGGAAACCAATCCAAAAAGATTGGGAAAAGGCCGGCTCGAGTCAACCTGGTTGGGGCGCTCAAAACGCCGCCCTTTTGGCCATCTCCTTTTGGGGGGTGATACTTTGTGGGGTGATGCTTAGAACCCCTGATAAATGATACCGATTGAAACTCTGGGTGTAAAACTTGCCTAATTAGGCTGCTGTCCTCCAAACACAGATGGCAAATAGCGCTCGGAGGGTTGAAACGTATGTCCCACAAACACAAGGGGCTGCTTCCGAGCAACCATCCGGGAAGAAACCAAGGTTCTTGAAGCCTTCTGCGTATGGAAAGCCGTTACATTGGATCACACTCTTGCAAAATGGGTTGGATATTTAGTCACCCTTGCATTGAACCATTCTCTCTGCGCCACCATCGGTGAGCCGCCCACCAGACAGGTGCCAAGAGCAAATGTTTCAGGCCACTGCAGCAAGCAAACCTGCCACAGTGGCCGTCGCTAAGGGCCCATGGGATCCTACGATTGCAAAATAGGTGTTGCTTCTTTCTCCGGAACCATTGGATCATAGGATTCTCTCTCCCTCTGCCGTTGCACCCAAAAGGTCCCGCAAGATGGGCGTCGCTTCTTCCTGAAGTCGGGGATGCGTGGATTCTCCGGGGCCGTGGCCAGCCCGGCCATGGCTACGCAGCCCAGGACTCTCAGCAGCTTGCAGCCCAAGGACTGCCAGTACCTCAGGCAGCGGAGGAGAAAAGCAAAAAAAGAAACGAGGAGCGGCCGAGAGGGGAAAATCCAAAAATGGCTGGTTTGCGCCGGAAATTCTGGCTACCTAGGATGTCCAAGGTCAGGGAAGTGGATGATAATCATGGCGGTAACTGGTTAGCAACTGAGGCTGTCTCCATGGCTACAACCTCCATACCTGACGTGGGTTGAACACCCAAGCAAGAGGAACATAATGGGATCAGAAATCGGGATTCGTGGGACGTTTTCGGGGCTGATTGAGAATGAAACCAATGGGTGTTGCTTCTGCCGGGCCTTCCGGAAACGCATTCCAACCCAGCCACCAGCAGAATCGCATCTTCACTCATAGAAGGTGGCAACCGAAAACCCAAGTTTCACATAGACTTCCCTGCAGAACCATCCCATGCCACCAAAGCAGGCTTTCAATGTGAATTAGTCAATTGCTCTCTGAATTGCTATGTACATGAAGGATATGTTGTTCGTTTTCCCTTGGAAGCCTGGTGGTTCGCGGGTCCCATGGAAGCCTTAGAAGAGAGGCATGTACATTGTATGACTTGCGGGTCAGTTGCGGGCTAACTCAGCCGATCGCCTCCCCAAGTAGCTGGGCTCATTTGAGAGGGACATAGACGAGATGCCTCCCCTCAGGTTGGTTCATGTTCGGAGAAGGGCGAACTTTGCAAACAAGGCTCGCAAAAGACATCGAATGGAAACCAAACTTGAGAGAGGACTTGACACACTTGGGACAAACCCAAATATTTCGCAGTCTTTTCTGAGCTTTGCAGCGCTAAAACTACATCCCAGGGAGCACCCCTTCTGAATATTTCCTCCCAGCAAAAACCAGCCCCAAAGGAAAAACCGACCCTCCCCGCCAAGTGTCTGCCCGAGAAAGTGCAGCTCTAAGTGCCTGCGACAGGATCAGCGATCCGGATCGATCCCCGGCCTCTGGGAAGACTTGCTGGTTTAGGTAGGGGATCAACCGGGGTGGGAGTGAACCTGGGGATTCCCTTTAAGGAGAAGACTCACACATCCTGTCCAAATGGAAACTTGAGGACCGCATCTTGGATCTGCAGCGTCGGTGGTGATGGGAATTACCGTTTTCAGGCATAAACAGATGCTTTCAGTTCACCCCATTCTCCTGCAAAGAGAAAGCGAGACAGGTTGGCGTTGGGTCCAAGTTCGTTTGCCCCCTAAATATTGCAAGTGAGCCACCCACAAACCATGGCAAATCAGCTGGGCTCCGCTCCTTCGCACCAACCGGCCCTGAGAGGGATCTGGAAAACTGCAAACTCATCCATTCCTCTTCACCTTTTGAGGGTACCCTTTTTGGGTGGCGTTAACGGGAAAGCAATAGGAAAACCACCATTTATTTGATCTACGTATTGTTTGTTATGCTGCTATATGTTCATTTGTGCTTTGTTGTTGTTGTTTTGTTTTGTGGGGGGGCGGCGTCCCCTAAAAAAAAACACCCATAACCAAAAGCCACCCCAGGCCGGCCTCGACAGCAGCATTACATAGACGGAGGAGCTCATTGCTGAGATCAGCATCAGCTCAACCAAGAGCTCCGGCATGTTGTAGCCTATTTATAGGATCCACCCCCCCTCTTCCCCAAAACCAGGCCCCAACAAGGCCGCAAGTTGAGGCCTTTTTTCGAGGGGGAGGGTGGTTCGGGCAGAGAGGTCGCGGTGCGAAGGTCGGCTACGATGAGCAGTCCAAGCTGTGGCACAACTGTGTTATTTCAGACTTGCTTTGACACAGAGACTGCTGCCTGCAAGTCAAGTCTGCAAAATGGCAAACTAACGAAGCCTGGCCACTCTGCTATCATGCCTTGGGCTGCTTTCCTGAATGGAGGCTGCTTAACATCCAAACCTGAGTTGGCCTTCCACCCAAGCGAGCGGCAAGACTAGCCATGATAAACCTGCGAAGATCGAAACCGCAAAGACCGGTGACGTGGGGAAGAAATGTGGTCAGAAGTGCCTTCGTGTCCTACATTTAACATTTGGCATTTGATTACATTTGGCATTTGATTTGGATGGAAGCCATCAGTGCAACTATACCATCCTTGCTTGCCAGGGCCGCCTTTTCCTTTGCTTCCTTCCCGCCAAAAAGGTTTTGGCTGCCGAGCCGCTGCGATCGCCACCTCAGCGTTCGCAGGCTCCAAAGTCAGATCCCGGCCGTGGCCCCTCTGCGTTTCTAGTATGACAGGGCTAAGTTGACGACCGTGTGGTACTTCTTGGAACCCTTGAAAACAGGAAAGCACCAGGACCACCAGGGAGAAAGAAACCGTGCTTTTGCTTTCGAAGCCAAAAACCAGGAGGGGCTGCGCTTTTTCGGCTGCAAACAAGTGCAGCTGGCATGCTTTGGCTGCTAACGCGTTCCTGAACAGTTCGACCTTCTCGAGCATTTCAAACGCTTCGAAGTGATGAACACTTTCGGCTGCGGCCCAAACATCACCCAGCACAAACATGCCCTGTGAAACTGTTAGCGGGCCAAACATGCCGGACCCAACCAAGGAAATTCGTGTGATCACTGGGGGGATTTCTTGTTGGGCAGAAGAGGTCGGACTGGTCGATTTGCTTTGCTCGAAGCTCTTAGTGAGAGAAGCCCCGTAATACTGTCAGGGCAACCATTGCTGGAAGTTCATGTTTCCCCTTGAAGGGTTTTGCCAGGTGCCAAGATGGCTGGGAGGGCATGGACTCTTCGACATGCTACATCCGTGAATTCGGACGCTCTTCATGCAGAAGGCCCAGGCACAGGCAGACAAATCACTGATCGGGATGATGAAGTTGTTCATGGAATTCGCATAGCCTGAGCTGCACAAATTCCTAAAGTGCAACTACCCAAGGGAAAATTGGCTTACAACTACCACACAACCACTATGTACGTACTTTGTGGGGCACAACTCATTGAAGGGATCCGGATCACTGTTGGGTTGGAAACACCCTGTTAATTAATCCTCAAGGGTCTACGTCCCCTCCCACTAGCAAACATCGAACATGGAGTCCTCTGGATTCTTCTGTTTTGTCTTTGGGGTTGTAAATCCGGGGCCAGCTATACTCTCAGCGGGCCGCCCGGCTGCAAAATACACATGTACTGAAAAGCTGCAAAGTCTTCCGAGCGGCTGCAGGTCCCTTCTTTATTGAAGACGAGGTATCCTGCACAAGGCAAGCACTCACAAAACTGGCCCTAAGTGTCCAGGCTGCCCTGCCTCCCCCGAATGCAGAGGGTTGAAGCTATGTGCCCATCGTTGAACAGTAGTCGAAGATTTTTCCCGCGTCATCGCTCTAAGCTCCAAAAGTAACAACGTCAGGTCTGTTTGCGAATTGCCAGTGAAACCGCTGCTACTGATATCAATCGATACTTCTTCACTTAAAGGGGAGGGGATCACCGAAAAGTGTGAAGGAAATGCCTTGTCTATGAAAGGAAAAATCGCCAGGCCCAACCGCCTCATTGAGCCCAATCGCCGGTCTGAAAGTGGGAACTGTTCAAAAGACCGAAAGGAGACCAGGCATCCAACCACGCGAAACCAAACAAGTGTTCTTGTCTCTCTTTAAGGTCCCGGAACCCTTTCCTTTCGGGGTAACGTATTGCCTTTCTTTGGTGTGGTCGGCACCAAATCCTTTCCAAGTCTCATTGTTCACTTTGGATGGACGAAATCCTGCCCCACCTAAGAAACCCCGCAATGAGAATTCTCCTGCCAATAGCGACCAACAAGGGTTTCAACCATGGTGTCAAAGCGGTGCGAAATGGATTTCCTCCGTCCGCGGTATCATTGGGTATCCGCCCTCTTTGCGTCTTTCAAGAGCCTGCCAAGGCCAGCGGCACAAAAGCGAAGCCAGCAGACACCTCGAAACGCGTCCGGGACGAAGGGCCGCACAACCACATCCCAAGGCTCATTCCAAGCGGCTTGGCTCCAGCCAATTTGAAAGCTTGGCTTTGGACCAGTGAGGCATACCACTGGATAGGGGCAGGGTTTCTCCCAGGACAATATGGGGGGGGGGGGGGAATAATGCATATTGTGCATATGGGCACAATTGTGTATTTCAGAGGCGGCGGGTTTATGTCAGTGCCCCTATCCAACAAGAAACTTATCATCTCTACTCTTGGTATGGTAGCGAAAAACTTTGTTTTTTCCAGACCCCTGACCCCCAGTAAAAATGAACAGAACCAAAAAACTAAAAAACCAAAAAACATGCCAAGAACTGTGAAGTTAGGGGTTCTTAGGCTTTCCTAAGTTGGCTGCGGGCACGCAACCGTCGGGCCACAACCCTCGGGCAGACCTGTGGGTTCTATGGCAACGGGCTTAAAACAACCACCCCCTACCTACCAAAAAAGGAAAACACCAAAAGGAAACATCAGACTTTCCAAAAGGTCATGCTTGAAACTACCAGAAGGGGAAAGAAAAAAAGGAGAACAACAAAAAAAACCAGCCGGTTCTAAATCTGCCTGCCACAAAGGTCATTCGGCTTTCCAAGCCCTTCCGTAGTCCCAGGGCGCCAGCCAAAAAGGTTCAAAGCTTGGACCTGGAGAAGTCGCTTCCCAACCTCCGGGCCACACCTATGCCACACATCTCGCAAAAAAAAAAAGAGGGCCACACATCTCGCAATCGAAACCAACACGAGCCAAGAACCCTGAAGAAAATGTTTAGCATATGCGACCCTATGGGAACGCTTTTGAAGGGCCGGCTCAGGTACCCAAGGTACCGCCTACTTACAGGCTCCACGAGGCTTGTTTAAAAAATAAAGAGAGGCGTGCCTTGAAGGTGTTTCCCGGAAATTGCCATCCCTAACTTAGCCTTTTTGCTCGGGTCCAAAATGAGCTCGTCTCATCCCTAGCTCCTTTTCCAGGGACCTGGTCATTTCGGTGGATTCGCCCAAGCCCCCGGCCGGCGCCACGAGGGGCCGCCAGTCAAAGGAGCCCAAGGCCTAGGACCAACGAGCCAGGCTCCTCCTGGAAACCCACGACTGAAGCAGCCCACAGTCCGAACTCTGGCTCATTTCCCACCATGCGTGTGCTTGTGTTTTTTCCTGGTTCTTGTCTTTTTTGGTGGTTGGGGCCCTTTTGTGGCTTTTTGCTAGGTAGATCATCATTTGGGGGTCCTCTCTTCCTTCAGCTTCCTTCCAATTGATGGTTTGGATTCATGGTGTGGTTTCCCATGCACCCTCCACAAGGGTTCAAATCCCCAAACAAATCCAAACCACCAATTGGAGGCCAGCTGAACTCCGGCCAGGAACCCGCGAAGTGAGACTATGGCTATGGCACGCCAACCTAGCGCATGGGTACATTCCAAGCTGAAGACTGCCAGTGTCCAGGCGAACATGTTGAACCACGTTTTGTCCAAGGTAAAGCTGCCCATCCTCCAGACCAAAAACTGGGCTTCTAAACCGGGCCCTCCGGGAAATGAGGACAAACCAATGGTTGGCTCTGGGGTTTTGCATTGGATTGCCCCTGGTTCATGCCACAAATCAGGGCCTTCTGTTCACAACGAATCGGTGGGTTCCGCAGAAGCCAGGGGGCCACAAATCCTTTGGCATCTTCTATGGTGCCTTGGAATTGCAGACCTCACAGGACTTTCCAAAAAGGCTGACCTTCCCCAAGACAGATGCTAGAATCGTCCCTGTCCCGAGTTGGTGGGAGACAAGCCCCGCAAGTCGCCCTTTCGCACTTGACTACAGCCTGGCCCCTGAGCCAATGTGGACCCCCCAGTTGCTATGCGGCCCTCGGTGGTCTCGGGCAAATGACACAACCCTCAGGCCACATCGGCCTCCTTCTCATGAATCGTCCCCTGCTCCTCTAGCCCATGCCTTTCCACCAAGGTCTGACTGCTGCTTCGGCGAGTAGCACTTCAACGATGGCACGCTGAGGCAGAGCATTTCTTTAAGGGCACTCTGTTTTCTCAAAGGTGGCAACCACTCCTGTGACACCACTGGAACTTAATGATTGTTTTTTTTACAAGAATGATTGAAGATTCTAACCTCACTCACCCCCAAACCCAAAAAAATACACAGGTAGAATCTGACCGCTGGGTTTTTTCGCCCACACCCCCGTTCTTGCCCGTCTCTTTCTTTTGGGCCACGCCCTGGACGCCATTTCGCCACTTCGCGCCGAGCTTCCGCCAGCGCGGCCAGCTCCCGCAGGATCCGCAGCAGCGACAGCAGGGCGCCCAGCCAATAGACCGCCAGCACCGCGTCGATCATCCCGCGGAAGGCGCTGGTGGCACCTCCCCCTGGCAGGCCCTCCTCCAGATGCGTCCTGCGCTAGGGCTACGGCGGCGGAGGCCACTTGGTGGCTTGGAGCGCGGAGGGTTGGTGGTTTGGGGGAGGTGTCCCTTTTGCCCTCTAAAGCCAGGGGTTTAAACCCCGAAACCACCAATCCAAGGCACCAATTCAGGCTTACCTGACAATTCCACTTCCCCACAAAAGGGAAACCGAAACTCTAAAACATGTCCTGCGTCAAAGCTGCCTACGTAGGCCTAAAGCCACCCCAAACCAACAGCCCTTTCCCCAAACAAATAGCCTGTACATCGTGGCTTGCTAGCGCAAAACCATCTCAGACATTCTCAACGCGCGGAGCTTGGTTGGAACAACGAAGGCGGCGGAGCAAACATCAACCACCATCGTTCAAGGGCCCTCGTTTGTAGGAAGCCCGTTTTTCTTTGACATTTCTGCGTCGAGATGCTTTCAGAGAAAGCGAACACTACCAGCTCCACCCACAAAGCTGTTTTGAGTATCCATTTAACGCCAGTCCCACTTGCCGTGGCTTCTACACATTTCGGCAAAATGGTTTTCCATGAGCTGGGTAAACCGCACTTTCTGGGCTAAGCTGCCGGGCTGGCTGGACATGCAGGTTGGAAATGGGGTATCTCATGCCCAAAATCCAACAGGGGCAGCCCGGAAAGCTTGGGTTCTCCTATAAACCCTTACCTGGAGGTGTGTGTGTGTGTGTCCACATACTCGCCATTCTGTAATTCCACTTCGGATGTTGGGCCAGCTTTCCGCGCACCTTCCCAAACATGCCACTCCTCAGTTCTTGAGACCACCTGTTTTTCGGCTTGTTCGTCTTTTCCGGGGGAGCCCTGTTTTGGCTGGCGGGTTTTTGAGGTCTCCCAACTCCTCGGGCCGCGGAGGCTGCTCGACACCACCTGGGACACCACCTGGGACACCACCGAGTGACCCGGCCGCCTCGCGCCAAAAGCAGGGCGGATCGGTTCTGTCCTCGTTGCTTCTCGGTGGGGGGTTGTCGTGTTTTGCGGGGTTGGGGTTGGTTTTGCATCAGGGGGGGGGACCGTTCCCTCATTCCCTTCTGAGAACCAGCAGTAAGGATCGCCTTGTGCCGAGAAGGCTCAATAGGGTCGTCTATGTTCACTGAATTGAAGGGGTGTCCACCATTGGGCCTTGACAAACATAGGACTGGTAGAAAATAGGTTCTTATCTTGTTATCCACCTTGGCGTGTACATGTTTGTTGCTGGCTTTCCGCCCATGCAGCAGGGCAAAATGGAAACCGAAAAACCAAAACAACTGCGTGGGGAGTGGGAGGGAGGTCAAAACCATTCCGGAAATGCCTCGGCACCTGGGTCCAGGACCCATTCAAAACCATGCGGCTATAAACCAGGCCAAGTGGCGGCGCCAACGTCACTTCCTCCAGCTGAGCAAGCTGGGAACGCGAGCCCGCACGGAAACGGGCCCCAGTCGGAAACTAGCTTTGACACATGCCCAGTTTCGGCGCGCTTGAAGCCACGAGAGGGAGCCACGAAAGGTTCGTGAAAAGTCCTGACCGAAGGGTGCGCAAAAACCTTTCTGACGAGTACTGTCAACCCAGGACAAACAACCACTGACTAGTTGATCAGGGTACATGTTAGGAAAGGCAACTCATCCGAGCTCAACGTTACAGGAAGGAGTGGCGAACATGGAGCTTCATGAAACCCCGAAACCTGCGATTGTTTAGAAGAGTCTCCTTCCGGGCAATGGCCCCCAGTTTTGGTTCCTTCCCTTCAGTTGGTCAGTTTGGGGAGGGGGGGGTGATGCAAAGGTCTCCGCCAAGCAACTGCCCCGCCCGCGATGGTCGCCGTGACGCTTCTGATGTTGGCAGCATAGGCCGAGGCCACGATGCAACCTGCAGGTCTCATCCGAGAGGCCAAATTTTGCCGCATGAACATAGGAGTCAGTCATACTGGGACCTCCCCATAGGAAAACCTCTAAGAAACCGCTCCTACAAAGGTTTTAGGCTTTTCCCCTCAGAATCCATGGGTTAAAAGGGGAGTAGCCTTGAACGCTTCGTTTTCGCCTAGTCTTGACTGGCTCTGGGCATCCTTTCTGGGCATCCCCGGCCCTCAAGTCGCATGATGCCAGAGCGTTCCCTCCTTGCGGCTGGCCAGAATTGCAAGTCAAGCCACCTGCCAGGACTGGCTGCTGCATGCCTGAGTCAAATGCAAGCAAAAGGCGCTGTTGTTCAACCCCTCCCCCCCCTTGTGCCTCCTGCAAGGAAAGGTCGAAAGGCAACCTACACAACCTGATGGCTATCTCTGGTTCGTGTTTTAGCCTTGGGCTCAGTCATTTCTGCCAGGGTCCAAGGAAGCATACTCTTTTGATCGCATAACGTAGAGAAACTTCACCGCAAGCAACGCACGCAGACAGGAAGGCTCTGACTCCCGTTGCCCAGTGACTGGCAGAAAGAGGGGAAGCGTTATGTTGTGTTGGAGAGAGGGTGGAACCCACTGAGCAGAACCGGACGGATGTGCAACTCACTGCAAGCCCAGTTACGCCCAGCGACGGACAGGTTCGGTATGCGGATAGGGTCGGCCGCATGGTGAGCCAAATGCTTTTTCAGAGCCAGGACATTGGTTCATCTACTGCCATGCACTGATTTAGAGGCATTGCATCGAGAGCCATCGCAGCCTATTGACTCTCTCTCTCTCTCTCTCGCTCCCCCCGGGAGGCGCACCATTTTCCACCGGTTCAAGTTGCGGAGATCCATTCAAGCCGCCCAACACCTAGGGAAGATGCCCGGGAAAGACACAAATAGTTTGGGATGGGGCTGCTTTCCCCCAAGAACCGCCTGTTCTTGGCCGGTGGACCACTCGGTTTCAGCTGTTCCCCGTTTCAAGTCCATGAATTTCCCCTGGCGTCGCATCGTCTGCAATAAAATGTCCCTGTCCCTTCGAATTTCCCCCGGGCTAAGAAAACGGGCGGCGCTTGCCGAACGGACGGAGCTCACTCGCGTCGCCTTGAGGCCCTCAGGGTGTCAGGCAAAGACCTGGCCCGATGTCGGGGCGGAGACTCGGAGACCTCCCCTCCCCATGCGCCAAACAAAACGGCACCCGGAGAAAAAAGAAAAACAAGCACAGCAGGTGCCGGAGGTGCTCGCACGCCAAGGAAAAAAAGCAGCGATGAAGACCCATGGGGCCCGACGGTGGTCATTTTTTACTTGTTCACCTGCATGGCGTGGTGTCTGTGCCCAACAGCTGCTCAGTTTTATTTCATCCACTCCGCGTGATTCACCAGAACTCCAGTGGCCAGGGCCAACAGTTTAAAGGCAGGTTTTCATCAGAAGGAACAAGAGCAGTACCCCCCTGCAGATTAACATGGAACCCGACAAATCACTTGTGAAGGAGCCTCCTTTGAGGAAAATGGAGTTCTTTTCAGGGGTTCCTTCCACTCATTTGGGATGTTTCCTAGTGCAACAGGAATGTCCAGACTGATCTTTCCCACTTTCAGTCCTTCTGGCCGAGAAAGGGAAAAGGCCGCTGCAGCGCTGCAACCGGCAAGTCAACATCCCCCTCGCTCGCCTCCTTCGGCCGCAAGCTCCGCCGCCGTCTCACCCGCCTAGCGCCGCACATCCCGGGTGCTCCGCGCGCGCGAAGGTGGGTTTTCCGTCGGGTGGCCGGAGCCGAGGGAGCGAAAGCAAAGGCAAAGCGGCGGTGCCTTCCGCACAAAGTGTGTAGGAAGCCTTTGGTAAAACGAGGCCAAACATGTTGACCTGAAGGTTGGGGGGCTGCAGCCCATGAGCTTCTCACCTCGGAACTCAACGCCTATGATTTGCTCACCTGCTTTGCCAAGAAAACGAGAACCGACTAGACACGGACCAGCGTACGGCCCAGGGGGGCCGGCAAATGAAGCATGAAAACGGCTGCCTCTACCCATCTGTCCGCCTATCTGCGCAGTGGCGGCAGGAAAGAACCCGCAGTGGGGGGTAATGATCTTGGTTCTATGACTGAGGGTTCTCTAAACTCTGACCTCTTATTCTGGTTATGATCTTCCGCTTGGTGAACATGACCTCGCTCTGGTTGTCCCTTGCTAGAAAAGGGCCGAATTCAAACAAACCAGACTTGAACCAAGAAGTGAGACCCGCCTGATGTAACTTTAACACCTACCAGGACCTACCATATAAGGCTTCCCAGCCGTCAACCCTCGCAGGTAGAGAACGACAAGATGTGGCTTCGTCCGACTTTCTGGGTTCGAGCGAGGGGGGGGGAAGAGGAATACCAACAAGCGCCCGAATGGTGCCCCGCGAATTAACATGGAACCCAAAATGTTCGGTTTGTCCCCCAAACGGAGCGCGCTAAGCAGAGCTTCCTCCGGAAATGGCGGGCGCTTTCGGTCCCCTGGAAATTAAAATAAACCCCCCGGGAGCAGTTCGCAACCTCGGCTCCTGCGAGCTTTTTGCGCCTTCAATAAGGAGCGAGGCCTGAGGCTTCCTCACGTCGCATGGGTCGGTGTCAAATAGATTCAGAACGTTCAAACCTTAGAATGGCTACCAGAAGGGGAACTCCCGATTTTCAAGGGGCCGGGGTTGCCCTAAAAATTGCGAGGATGGGAGAACGCATCTGACGGACCAGGGTTCCGTTGAAAGCTTGGAAGCGATTTGGAGATCTGGAGGGGCAAGATGATGCTTTCAACCAGGGCTCGCCAAAGCCTACGATTTTGCAAAACATATGTCTAAACATGAACGAAGCCTCACTCCGCAGGAAATAGGTGACAAGGCAGATTGAATTTGGCTCACGTCGACGCACAGAGGGGCTCCCTATTCTAAGGCAGACCCAAGCGCTGCCCTGAAGGCTTCGTTAACTGACACACGGAGTCCGTGTGCTGGCAGCGTTCGACGCTGGAGGTGACACTAGAGCGGAATGCTCACGAGGACCCTGAAGGGTGGCTCAAAACATGAAGGAAGCAAAGCCACACCTCTGCCACTCTCTATGTGAGCCTTTGAGCCACCCAAGCTATCCACCCATGTCCCCGAAACTCACGCCAGCGGCCGCGCAGCCAGGAACTCAGCAGCCCTTCCCCTTCTCTGGCGACAGCGCTCGGCCCAAGCTGGGCACAGGGCGGGCAGGACGCTGTGGACCACTGGCTGGTCCACAGCTGCCGCTTTGGGCTCTTCCACCTCCTCCTTGCGTTGGTTTTTCTCCCGGCCAGACGCACAAATGAGCCAGGAAACCACCGGGGTTCGTGGTTGCGGTGCGCGTTTCTGCCTAAGTGGTTTGCAGTTGGTAGAAATCATCGTAGATTTGAACTGAAATAGACCCACCGTGGTTTTGGCAGATTTTGCAAAAAAGCGTCTTAGCTGCAAACAATCTTCTGTGAGGCAAGGTGCCAGCCGATTCCTGATTGCAAGGGCCACTGGCAACAGCTAGTGCCGCCAACAGCTTACTTCTCAAGGACATGTTTGACTTCATGGTCAAAATGCGACTTCAATCGCCATTGCAACGTGTGTTTACAACATGCCCCTTCTGGTTGTGAATCTCAATTGAAAAAATGGAAACTCCAGGTTTCGAGGACGATTGTTTGTTTGTTTGTTTGTCTGCTTGTTTGTTCGTTTGTTCGTTTGTTTGTTTGCTTGTTTGCTTGTTTGTTCGTTTGTTCGTTTGTTCGTTTGTTTGTTTGTTTGGTTGCTTGTTTGTTCATTTGTTCGTTTGTTCGTTTGTTCGTTTGTTTGTTTTGTTTGTTCGTTTGTTTGTGTGCTTGTTTGTTTGTTTGTTTGTTTGTTTGCTTGCTTGCTTGCTTGCTTGCTTGCTTGCTTGCTTGCTTGCTTGCTTGCTTGCTTGCTTGCTTGCTTGCTTGCTTGCTTGCTTGCTTGCTTGCTTGCTTGCTTGCTTGCTTGCTTGTTTGTTGTTTGTTTGTTTGTTTGTTTGTTTGTTTGTTTGTTCGTTCGTTTGTTTGTTTGTTTGTTTGTTTGTGGCTCGGTCGTCCTGTAAACGCGCGCTTTTTTTGGTTCTTTCCCCCCTGTAATGGCCGCAAAAACGCGCAAATCATATGTTTTTTTCACAGGTTTCGTGCATGTCCGGCCACTACCACGTAAAACGCGGGAATTATATGGAAATTCACACTCACGATAGGCACGCCCGCTCAAGTGCACCCGCGCAGCACTGCATCCATGCCAGCCAAATGGTAAGAACACCTTGCTTGCTTGCTTGCTTGCTTGCTTGCTTGCTTGTTTGTTGTTTGTTTGTTTGTTTGTTTGTTTGTTTGTTTGTTCGTTCGTTTGTTTGTTTGTTTGTTTGTTTGTGGCTCGGTCGTCCTGTAAACGCGCGCTTTTTTTGGTTCTTTCCCCCCTGTAATGGCCGCAAAAACGCGCAAATCATATGTTTTTTTCACAGGTTTCGTGCATGTCCGGCCACTACCACGTAAAACGCGGGAATTATATGGAAATTCACACTCACGATAGGCACGCCCGCTCAAGTGCACCCGCGCAGCACTGCATCCATGCCAGCCAAATGGTAAGAACACCCGTTCAAGTGCACCCGCGCAGCACTGCATCCATGACAGCCAAATGGTAAGAACACCCGTTCAAGTGCACCCGCGCAGCACTGCATCCATGCCAGCCAAATGGTAAGAACACCAGTTCAAGTGCACCCGCGCAGCACTGCATCCATGCCAGCCAAATGGTAAGAACACCCGTTCAAGTGCACCCGCGCAGCACGGAATCCATGCCCGCC